CTGTGTTGGATGTATGTCTGTTTCTTTTTGTATTGTTTTCACGATGTGCATATATTGCCATCTGCTGGATGAGATTAAATATGTGCTTTGTGAAAGCGGTAACGGAAAGCAATATTTCATGCAAGCCCCATTTCAATGAGGTATCCAATTAGGGCCGATATTCAAGGCTCTGCAAAACGTTTTCGGTGTGGATTCAACACACTGCACCGACAAGATGTGTTCAAACTTCGAATTCCATTTTATACTTATACCAGACTTACAATCTTCAAGGTTCCAGGGAAGTGAGGCCTATCCTCGATGATTTGGAGCCAAAGGCAGAATAAACTCTTGACAACAACCACCCACATTCTAAGTAACGCCAAAAATGAGTGGGAACTTAACACTTACCTGCATGATTTATGCTTATACCAGACTTATAATCTTAAAGGTTCCAGGGGAGTGAGGCCTATCCTCGATGATTTGGGGCCAAAGGCAGAATAAACTCTTGACAACAGCCACATTCTAAGTAACACCAAAAATGAGTGGGAACTTAACACTTACCTGCATGTACGTCAGACATGCAAACCTATTGATAATTCAATCCATTTCACAATTATTATTTGATACGTATTTTTTTAAATATGAACAAATTTTGAATTTGATTGGAACTGGAATGTGTTTACCACAGTATTACATTACCTTTAAAACACACAATACAGTAAATGTGGAGCCTAATTCTTGAAGCTTTGTGGATGATTTTTTTTTTTAATACTTACTGGATGTGCGACCCCAAATTCTTTACTGGGGTCTCAGTTGTTGCATTTATAGGTCATGATGCACCACACATTTTCATTTAAACTCAGGTCTGAAATGAGGCAAGTCAGTCTCCTACCAACCATGAGTTCACGAACTTCATGGTGTTATATCTTCATACAATGATGTTGGTTTTTCATGCAAGTCATGAGCATTCAATGTGTTCAACCAATTTTCATGTTATGACGGTATGATGAACATCGTATATTTCTTGCAACTGTACAGTGAGAAACATCCTGTTGAAAGTGTTGGATCACTTTCTTTTCTTTCATACAATTTACTTCACAAAGCAGTGTAACATATGCCAAAACTCGCTTTGCTTGTGAGCAACTTAGCTTTATTAGGCGACTTTTGTCAAGTGTTTTTTGGAACATGTTGCAGGTAGTGTAGCATATCATAGTAAACAACTGGGAAAAAAGAAACTAGTGAATCCCTTTCATAATGTCTGATAGCATGTCACATTGAATATTAATAGTAAATAATGTGTTAATGTGTTTACAACAACATTTTTACAACATTCCAAAATGGGGTTTCGGAATTGCATTATGTTGAAATGCCTTTGATTTGAATTATTTAACCTATTTCATTGAGAAAATAACAAACACAAACATTTCACAATGTGCCGTGCCTTACTGTCTGCCACCTTTGATACAAAACGAAAAAGGGGCCACTGTTTTGAACTCTTTGGCACGCCGTCCTGTCTCATAATAGTGACGTAGGTGACGTTGAAGCTGTTCGACGTAGCGGGTATTATTATTATTATTTTTACCTAAGGATATGTGCAGCAGAGTATAGCGTGATTTGTTTGAGGTTTTTTTTTTTCGGGTGTGTGTTTGGGTATATTTTAGTCGTCATATCTACGTCTACTTGGACAACAATGTCCACTTTGGTGGAGTCCCTGGCCAACGAGGGCTGGTAAGTCGCATGGTAGCGAACATTGCTTCACAAATCGATGACCAAGGCGTCCAGTTGTTTTGGACTTCATGCTTTTGTACTCACACCCACGACGATTAAACATTTAGTATATCTAAATATAGAGTCTTGGCATAAAAGCGAAAGGGGGACCACAACGTTTTAGCGATGTACCGTGGAACTACAAGAAGGCTAACCGCTGTGCTTGTCTCGAAAGAAATAGTGCGCAATCAAGCGTGCTGAAAAACACCACAAAGCACATCTCATCAGAACACCATCAAAGTGCAATTCTGAATGTTTGCAGCGGTTTGAAACTCAGAACATCACTGCAGTTGGAGTAACAGCTTCACGGGTTTCGTCATGACGTCAAGTCATACAATGATAACAACAATGCTACTACTGCTATAACTAATAATAAGAAGAATGCTCAGAATAAAATATTAATAGTAACGGGGATGATACTGACGGCCCATTTGCAGCATATATACTTTATACTCCCATTTCGTTAAAAATCGCCGTTACTGTACGATCGATTATTATCGATAATAGCTGCTGCTAATAAAAGAGTTTCATGAGGTGAAAGTTTTCAAGACTGCGGGTTCGCCTTGCTCACAGCAATAGAAAATGTATGTCGTTTAATAAGGCGCTAGTATTATTTCACGAAGTTGATGGGCTTATTTGTTTCTCTAATAGGCTGTCTTTGTTTTTACTCCGCAGGTACCTCAGTGATGAAGGCATTGCTGAACTCAAAGGATCTGCTGAGAACATTACACATAAGGATATTATTCGTATTGCACTTGATGTGAGTTCGATTGTATAAATATTTCCCACAGATGTTCCAATCACATTGTTGTTGTTTTTTTTTGACTGAGTCAGAGTCAAATTACTTAATTTTACACATCTTCTGAAACCAAGTCTGAATCGATCCCTCTACAATGGGCAAGGACGTTGGAACAGATAGTTTGCCATCCCCAACCCAAAATCTCTTGATATGCGAAAGCATTCAGATTTCCTGGAACCCGATGCTCCCAACTTCCTGATTGATGCACCAACGCACAAAGCAACATCCATCAAGACATGCGTGAGAGATTTTAATGTGTATGAACTTCACCTCAACCCAACAGAACAAACAGTATCGTTTCAATATTTCATATATTTCAAGTAACGCCATTTCTTGGGATCTATTGCATAGATTTAGCTGAAACTTGGTGTTCACCGACCTTAAACCTATTGTTTTGTTTTAAGTTTGGTGCTCT